GGCAATGAAAGAGAGCTTTTTTTCCCAAAAAGAGTAAGTAAGGTGATGTTGGCTGTTATGAATGGCAGCATTATGATGGACAATGCCATGCTGTGTAGTGGGACACACACGCACTTTTGATTTTGGTTCCCTGCTCTTCTGCAATGCTGTTGACGTGCAATATGCTCTGATCGAAACCAAATGTAACAGGCCAAAGCAGAAGAGTTTTTCAGACTCATCATTTTTAAAGGCTCTGGTCTCCATTAGTTTATATCGAGGTGGAAGGTTTGAAAATTGCACTATGCAATGTTTAATGAAGTGGCAAACAGCTCTGGTCCATGTCCTATACTTCTCAATCAGCTACTTACTATGTGTGACAGGCAGCCTAACTGGTCGAAAGATGCAGGCGATGGGCCAGAGAGCAGCCATGCATGTCAAAGATTGCAAAGCAAGAACTCCCCGGGGTTGGGGGCTCCCACTGCGCTCCACCAATCAACTGAAAATATATTCAGGCACTTGTGCCTTATAGAAACGCCAAGGGATTGCGTCAAAGATACAAAACTGACATTACCAATGAAGGAAATTCAATATTAATGAAATATTTGAAGCTGGAGTGTAACATGTAAAATATTTTATTATCAGTTTCACATTTAAACATGTGTTCTACAATTTAGTATTTATCACAAACGATGGCAATAAGAAAAAAAGTCTATATACAGCCAATCCGTATTCTTTACAATAATTAGCAAAACATCCAGCATACTGGCACAAGGTGGTATAGAGATCCGTATGTACTGGTAATGAAGCGGACACTTTTAGATATTTTGGCCTTTTTCCTTCTTCTGCCTGGCCAGTTTAGAAAGTCCTTCCTGGATAAACTGAACAGACTTGGCATCCTTCTTCTCCTCTGCCTTCATCAGCGCCTTCCTGAAGATCCGCTCAGCGTCCACCAAGTTTTCCATCTTTCCTTTATAAAGCATAGTACAAAGATCACACAGAGGAAAAGTCCACTTCTACTCCCATTTACCTTAGAGTGTATGTGAAGACAATTAGCTGGGCCGTTTATACAGCAATCCTAGGAATTAGCAGAAGACTGTTTTGTTTCATTTGGAAGCCTGCAAAAACCCTTCTATGAGATTAATGCAGAGCAGTCACGTGACCAAAGCCATTGTGAAGTATCTGTCCGGAGATGAGCTGGAGTAGGATCCAGCTACTGTGACATAATTGTCTCTGCATGCCCTGCTGTTCATTACTTACAGATGAACAGAGTATGGTCAGAGCCAGGGGGCAGGTCCGGCCAGTAGTACATCATGTTCGACATGGTTATTTCAACGGTTGTCCCAATACCACTTTTTCAAGACCAAGTACTGTCCCAAATGTACTTGCCGATACCTTTTCTTAAAGGGACATGTGATATTTTTTTCTAAAACAATACAGACTAATGATTTTAGGGCAGTTTCTCACCAGGGCTGCGTGCATTGGAGGTGACAGGTTCTCTTTAAGGTGACATTAGGGGTCTTTTAGACCTCTAGTGTCACCTTTTAACTTCACTGAATGTAAATACAGCAGGCAGTGGCTGGGAGCAATAGCCAGCCTGCTAATGGATATTTTAAATTGCAATAGCAGGCTGGCTATTGTACCCGACCAAGAAAGGGCGCAGAGAACACTGGCTAGCTAACGAAATTATAATGAAGACTAAAGGTGGTGGCACTTACGCGTGATTGCCAGGATCTGGAGATGGACGGCCGGTATGGAGGATCGGGGCACTCGTGGTGTGGTTCCGACTGTAGTCGATGTATAGCTTGATGTAGCACACCGGGCATATATTTAATAGCTTGATGTAGCACATAAAGCTATTAAATATATGCCCGGTTCCAACCACCCCGTTCTCAATTTCAAACCGCGGGATTGCCGCTTACTACCACTAGCTCCGCCCATCTGTCGCTTTTTAAACCCGGCGTATTCCCGCCATCATCTCACTGTTTTACCCGAGCTTGAAAAAGAGGTAATACCTCGAAACGCGTCGCTCTTGTCCGCTTTGATCCCCCTCCATCTCACCATTAACTCGATCTTCGGCATCTGACAGCTGCTTCCGTACACTGTCCCCAGCAGACCTGACAGTTACCGCCCGCTGACACACACAGCTGCGGCTGCCACAGCCCTGTCCATTGCCCGCTGTCCATTGCCGACACCACAGCGATCTCCCTGCCTCTCCACACCGCACAGACCCCCTACGGCACTCCGGACAAAGTCCCCTCTTCTTGTCTACACTCTCCTGTGGATGTACCTCTTGGATCAGCACATCGACTACAGTCGGAACCACACCACGAGTGCCCCGATCCTCCATACCGGCCGTCCATCTCCAGATCCTGGCAATCACGCGTAAGTGCCACCACCTTTAGTCTTCATTATAATTTCGTTAGCTAGCCAGTGTTCTCTGCGCCCTTTCTTGGTTTCTTGATCATTTGCATTCACAGGTTCTCCTCCTGTTTCCCAGGGCTGCATACACGCCTCCAAGCTAACTCTTTGCCCATCCGAGAGCGCTGTTTATATGTTTTTTTTCTGTGGCTATTGTACCCGCCTGCTGTCAATCAGCAAAGTAGGGAACTGAAGACAAAGTTCTCCATCAGGTCCTCTCTGCTGATTGACAGCAGGCAATGGGCAGGTACAACATCCAGCCTGCTATTGCCATTTAAAATATCCAATAGCAGGCTGGCTATTGTTACAAGTGTCCATTCCTTTTCCACATGATTAAACGGTTTCCTTTTGGTGATATATCTCAGTGCCAGCTGTCTGTGCTTCTTATGTGTATAATAATGTCCTCCCCAGACCCACACAGAAGTTTTCCCTCTCAATGAAAGAAGAGAATGTCCATTCTGTGTGAAGGCAAGATTTACAGCTTCTCTCCTCCCCGTGAGCACACTGAACAGACATTCTCTTCTTTCATTGAGAGTGAAAATCTCTGTGTACGTCGGGTGAGAGCATTAATAAAACAATTAAGGAGCACGGACATCTCACACATTGTGATAGATCACCAAAAGGAAACAGTTTCATCACGTTGAAAAGGAGGGTACACAGGAGGACGGAGGAGCAGCTGCAGGGGGAATTCAGCCCCAGCCATAGTCTCTTCTTCCCACAGCAGTCTGTGTGAAAGGGACACAGAGCTCTGCAGCCAGCACCAGCAGGGAGAAGAGAGGAGAGGGAGCCTGCGTTTGGTGGAGAGGTATTCCAGGGGAGGGGCTATGGGGGTCAATGGCCGAAGCTAATTGAAAAAAATTTAAAGGGCCGGTATTGGCTCTATGCATCGGTACAAGTACTCCTGAAAATGCCCTGCATCGGCCCCAATACCGATACTAGTATCAGGACATCCCTAGTTATTTCCTTTTGTTCATACTGTGCATGCCTATCACCCTGTAAGATCTGTGCTGACATCAGTCAGACATCATGTCTGTCACCGCTACCTCACGTCTTAAGGTCAGTAAATGATCACATCAACTTCCACAATGCACCACTTCAGTGACTGTCAAGTGCTTACTGACAGAAAGTGAACCTGTTATGCTGGAACTATGACTTGTGCCACTGCAGACTTGTTTTTAAAAAATGCAGGTTCTGGGGCTGTCATCCTGATCTCACTATTTTTAATTCGTATATATTGCTATTACAAAACAAGGAACAAAAAACGTTTATCCAATTACAACAAACTTTCCATACATTGTCATTTGTGTTTGTTAGAACATGTAACAGTGTGGTGCCATGATAGTACAACACAGTATCAATGCATACAGTTAACTCAGATACTAAATCACAATTGGGGCCCATCAGGGTTCCAGGAGGGAAACGCAGTGGAAGATCCAGTCCAAAGGCCCCATGTTTTGTCCCTCACTTTATAGAAAGGGAGATGAGCATTTATCAGCCTTTACCACTTCGGACGGGTTTCTCTTTCTATGTTAGAATAATAGCCTTTTAGGTATAAAAGTATAAGATCGGCAAAACCAATTTAGTATATTTAGGGAGTTACACCGAAGACAAGTTTTGGGGTTGTATACATTGTGAAGTCCTAATGGAAGGTCTATACAAGGAATGAACCTCTCTCCCGAATTGATGAGACCACAGAGAAGGAATGAAACAAATTTGCTTCTTCACCACATCCACAGAAACAACGTGGAATGGGGGTGTAACTCCAGTTATTGTAACCCGAGTATAAAACATTGGGTCAAAACTGAATACTTTGATCTCTTGAAGGGAGGAGCATAGTTATACTGTATATGTATGCTCAATTTGTACCCAATCTGTGCTAGGGAAAATACTGTTCTTGACATAGTCAAACTTTCTAGCGCATTCATAGGCGCATTGCAAGTGAATAGAAAATGAAATAGAGAACTAAATGGAAAGGAAAAACATTGCAAGTAAGCATTTCGAGTTGTTGATTTTCCTGTGCTTTCACCTTCCTAATTCATTAAGTTGGAGAGCCGGTCTATTAACATTGAAAAGAAAGAAACTCGCAGGCACTGGAGAACGACAGACCACAAATGTGCATTCTGCTCCTATATGGCACACTCCTCGTTCTCCTGTTTACCTTGATGCATCAGAATTGCCGCCATGTTGCTGAGCATGATATGGTGATCTGGATGGTCTGCCTTTTCAGCTAGATGAAGTGCTTGGCTGGCAAAGGTGTAAGCTTCATCATAGCGGCCCTGTGCCTCCATCACTGTGGCCAGGTCATTGAGCAGTGTGATGGTCTGCATGACATAACACAGAAAGGACACAACTAGTGAAAACTTCTTATACAATTATTATTATTGTCTTATTGGACAGTTACTAATCAAAGCTGAGAATTGTAGCCAAGAAAGCCTAGTTATGTCTTCTCATCCGCTCACATCTACTTTATGTGCAGCCACTAGAAAAAAAATAAAAGAAACCGCGTCAAGAAAGTCCCTATTCTTATGTTATCAGCAAGGAGCCGTTGTCAGGATAACTGAATGGTAAAAATAAATCATGTTGCAAGTGAAAAAGACAATTTACAAGGTTTTAAATTGAAAGGGTGGAATTTATTAAAACTGGAGCAGATCAGAGTCTGGTGCAGCCGTGTATGGTAACCAATCAGCTTCTCTCTTTCATTTTCAAAACTTAACTGAACAAACTGAAGAGAGAAGCTGATTGGTTACTATACACAGCTGCTCCAGATTCTGCCTGCTCCAGTTTTAATAAATTCCCCTCAGACTTGTTTTTTTTTTTTAAAGGGTCAGGAAAACCACCAATACGCCCCACCAAATTTGAAACAGTTTACTAACAGCAAAAGTCAACGTTATATTAGGAACTTTTACATGCATGTCAGTGAAGATCGATGGAAGAAGTTTCCCAATGGAGGAATTCTTTAGCGATGTACCTAGGGGGTGTTGGGGGTCTTTCAGATATATGCTGTGTATATTCTATGTTACAGTCACATGTGTCCAGTAATTGTTGAACCAGCTACGTCTGGTCTCCTACTGACCTGTGGGTGAAGATCTCCTTGCTCCTCCTTACAGATCTTTAGTGCTTTCTCATACATGACCTGTGCATGTAACAGCTGGGATTCGCTCACCAGGTAACGTGCATACGAATCCAAACACAGACCTAGGAGAAGCCGCGTGTTTGTCTTTTCCTCTGCTGCAAGCACAAAATAAGTATTTAAATAAATAAATGAGCTCACAAATGCCGGGAGATATTTATCATAAAATGAGGAAAAGGAAACCGTAACAAGACTGGAATTGCTGCCAACACCGACCAATCAGATTCCTTGTTTAATCGTTCCAGAGAACAAAAGAGGAAACCTAAAAACCGCAAACCTTCCGCTGTTCTTGTTTACTGGCCCCCAAGTCTTAGCATTTTAAATCAGCCAGTTAGGCTGGAAACACAACTTTCTATTTTAGAAATCAATAAACAAAAAAAAAAAGCATCAAAATGCACGGGGACACGCACCCTGTAATCAGCATTCACACACGTCAACAAGCGCCATGGTGCACACTGATAAGTAATGTAGAGAGCGCGCACACACACACGCGTACACACACACACACGCGTACACACACGCACACTGTAATGTGCATTTGGACACGTCAACAAGCGCCATGGTGCACACTGATATGCAATGTGAAATGCATTGTAACGCGATAACATTTCTCAGCAACAAATGATATGTTCCATAGAAAGGAATCAGGAAAAATGGAGCAAAACATGAAAGTGTTTGTTGTGTTGAATCTTATTGTTTCTTGTACTCATGAAGTGCACATAGTTTATCATGCAGCCAACATTCTTGGGGTCAGAGGCAGATTTTACAGCTGGATTCTACGCAGATATAAAATACACAATTGGATACAGCTCTGTGTTTTTTAACACATCAATAAATGTATTTTCTACCAGTAAGCGGTGTAAGTACCTAGATATGACCTGGTATCGGCCTCCTGCAGTTCCTGTACAGCAGGACCGCAGTATGAGAGTTAGAAGCAGAAACATGCTGATAGAGGGGAGAGCAGACACAGAGAAATGAGCTCATCACACAAGCTGGAGCAGGTCCAGGATGACCTGGGCTCAGAGAAAGTGGGTTGATAGAGGTTGGCCTTCAGTGGACAGCTAGCAGTAGAACAAAGTACTACAAGGTAAATTTTTTGTGATAATTGGGATGTACACGGGCTACCCAAGTCCTAAGCAGGGGGGTACAAAATTAGAGCGCAACAATCCTGTTTTCTTATCTGTAACTTAAACCAATAGTCAACATTCCAACATTCATAAAGCTTATCTCGGTATAGAGCAGGGGCAGGCAAACTCCGGCCCTCCAGCTGTGAGGAAACAAATCCCATTACGCATTGCAATACTCCCACTCCCATTGACAACCACAGGCATGGCTCCCATTTGCAGGGCCTGCTAAATCAGGTGAAACATGAGCCGTGTATGGTCAGCTTCAAATGTATTTCTACTTCTACAGCCAAATTGGGATAACGCTTATTTTATATTTGTTACATCTTCCCATTCACATCGTATACACTTAGAAGAAAAAAAAAATGCTTCTTGCAGTTTATGCTAAAATGTCCTTCTGTGTAATGTAAGGAGGGACTGCGAGGGTTTCTATACACAAAACATCTAAAAAGGTAAGGAATACAGTGGTACCTCGCTTCACGAACTTAATTTGTTCCACGATTCTGGTCGCGGAATGAATCAAACTGTGATCAGACCGCGATCTCGGCTATAAGAAGCCATGACCATGTGTCAGAGCGGGGAAGATGGCTGCAGTTGTGTTCATTACCCAATGTGGAGTTCGCAAACGGAAGCAACATTTTGCCGAACGTCCTGTTTGCAAACAGAAGAGTTCGTGAACCGAGGTACCACTGTATAATTTTAGATACGCTGTGTGAATGGGAACACATAACACACATATAGAGGGGTTTTCTCAAATTTCACTGCAAACATGGAAATAGACTTTAAAAGGAGAACTATGAGGTGAGTGCTTTTCATGGAGACTGTCACAGGTCGGCTCAGTAGATCGGGAAGTGAGCGAACACATACCGGTGCTCGCTCACTTTCTTGATCCTGTGCCGGCAGAGAGCCATGACAGGGGACGGATGGGATCCCCCCCCCCGATCCTCCAGCGCTGACTGGCGGAACGGACGGGGGAGGGTACAGCTGGCTCTGCCTCTAGATAGGCAGAGCCAGCTTTCACTCACGCAGCTGGGCGGATCCCGGCATAATTGTCGGGATCCGTTCCAGCTACGGCGTCTCAGTACAGCTCGCGGTATACTGAGCGTAGGATGACAAGAGGACTCTAGTTGGTGTCCTCCCGTTACCCTTAGGAGAACTATGGGGAAAAGCCCTAACCCCATAGTTCTCCTTTAAGGCCAACTTGGTACATTGCTGTCATCTTAGCTTATTTATAAGCAAACACCTCCTTACCCCTACACAACCTAAACGCATATGCTAAATGATACAACGCAGTCTTGCTCTTGTATAACAAAGTCACTTTACCTGCCATTACTTCCTCTGGCAGATCTCGTTCCTGCTTAGTCCTTGTATCCAAACTCAGGATACAGAACTGGTATCCTGCCACCGCCAAGTCCTTCCTGTGGTGGATGAAATAGGAAAAGTCAGAATAAGGATGAGGAAGGATTCTACGATCAGCCCCATTTCTGATTATACTAACTTTGTGCTGCATTGTAAAGTTATTGACTAATTAAAACTTTTTTTTAATGTAAAACATAAAGAAAGTTTATAATATGAACAGCGATGCACATACAATAACGGCTGAAACAACCAGGTTTGGAGACAAGGGAGTTGGAATGAATTAGGGCTAACACTACTGTTAGGGGTTAAGTAGGAAGAGTCTGTAAAAAACAAGCCACCGCTCCAAGCTCACGCCTGTGATGGACTACAATCTCTAAAACTAAACATGAGATTGTAGTCACAGGAGTGAGCTTAGAGCTACTTTACAACACACACAAGGACCATAGGGAACAAAAGTAGCCCCCCTCCAGAAGGACGGACAGTGTCAGCACCAATTCAGAGATGGTTTGAAGATCTACAGCCGAATGATACACAAATAAGATAAATTTTTGTTAATAGTTAAGGTACCTGAATGTATTTTTAAGATACAACTCCTAAGTTCAGTGTCACTTTAACATACATGTTGTAAAGCTGCCTCTATGTGGTGTTACTGCCAGGCAATGAATGAGAACATGCTACATCAGCCACACCAAAGAACAGACACTGCCCCCCTGTGGTGGAACGTGACTTTGCACATTGGGAGTTACCTACTGGTTTTGAGCAGCGAAGATACTGGCGAGCTTCAGTGAGATCTCGAGAAATGAATTGTCATCCTGGCAAACATGAGAAATTGTACCAGTAATAAAATCACATAACCAGCATGAGAAGAGATTTAGCGAAAGAAACAAACTTTACCTGTTTGATTCCACTATCAAGCATGTACACCATGGTGGTCTTAAATAACTTTTCTGCCTGGAAAAAAAAAAAAAAACTATCATTAAATCATTCAGTTAACCACCAGATACGAGTGGGTGTTCATTGGTAGGTGTGATGGTAAGTAAAACATAACGGGGGGAATTCATGAAAACTGGAGCAGACAGATTTTGGAGCAGTTGCTTATGGCAACCAATCATCAGCTTATCTTTTCAGTTTGTCCAGTTAAGCTTTAAAAATAAAAAAAGAGAAGCTGATTGGTTGCCATGGGCAACTGCTCCAGTTTTTATGAATTCCCCTCAAGATGATTGCTGGACTTTATAACTTAACGTATACCACTACCGAGGACCCCCCTGTACTCGAGCCAAATGGCAGAGTATGAGAGTAAGATTTTGTTGCACATTTTGATGTCCAATTATTTCCCATTTAATAAGCCGAGCAGTCATGTGCAAAATGGCATTTGTAAAAGCCTGGCATCACACATTTGGCAAGCAAGATTCACAAGTGTATTTCTACTTACATTTGTTACATGTTCCCATTCACATCACTTATAAATGGAGATGCACCGATACCGGTTCTTCGGTATCGACTACGAGTACCGATATTTATATTTAGTTACTCGCCAATACCGAATATCAATACCAGTACTTCCGGTAGCATAGAGCCAGCTTCCCGGGCAATCATGATATTACCCACCGCCCGGCTTCTTGATTGCCTGGGAAGCCGACTCCATTCTGTTTGGCCGGCTCGATGATGATTGGCCGGGAAGCTAAACAGCATCAAGCCAGCGTCCCGGCTCCATGTTCTCTCGCGGCACTGCGGGTCAGAACAAATCTCACCCTGATCGTAAGTTCCAGATACTCAAATACTCGGTATCGGCACCAATACTAGTATCTGTACATCCCTACTTATAAATATATTTATAAGGTGCCACTTACTTAGAAATCCTACCTAGCTTTCCCCATAAATATCCCCGTCTGTCCTAACAAAGGGTTAAAGATCTCAAGGCTTTGGGTGCTGCATTGTATGCTAATGCACTCAATAAAAGAAACTGTCCATCAGTCTGTCCCCTAATTGCACATTTGGTTTTCTAAAGCACAATGGAAGCTTCCTATAGAGTCCTATGTGCAAACCTGCTCCAAAGAAACATCCCAAAAGGTAAGAAATATTTTAGAAAATGATTTTGAAGTATGATGTGTGAATGACGACAACAACCCAACACCAGAAAGCGTATGAAGGGGAGTTTGTATAAAAAGGACAAACAAGCTGTCTGTATACTCACAGTGTCATACCGGCCCCTTAGTAACGCCAAATTTGCCATCTGAAGAGAAGAGAACAATACACCACAATAAATCCGGGCCAACAGCTAAATACACAGATACAAGATATGTAAGGGAGCCGATTAACCTGCCAGAAGATTTATATTCCTGTTCATCCAGGAAGAAGGTAGAAGACCTGATTTTTCTTTCTTTTCCCCGAGCCTGTTATTGTACCGGGAAAGGAGAAGCAGCAGAATGATTAGCTCTGCTCTCTCCTCCCAACAGCATGTCCCATGTTAGCAAAATGAGTACTGAAATGCAGCTGACTGGTTCTTGGGCTGCTTCTCCCTTTCCCAGTCTCTATTCTGTCTTGCAGGGAATTGCACGGGGCTGATGTCAGGTCACACTCATGTACTTACATTGCTTGCATTTTCAGAAATACATTTAATGATATATTTTATGAATTCAGAGCTGCGTTTTTACTCTGTGTCCTTTAGATCTGACTGGAGTTCAGCTTTAAATAGGTTAGTTGGATTCCAAGCTTCAAGACAAGGGGACAGCTTTACAAAGTAAGGACGGCTTTCTGATCATAGCAGCCTGGAGCCTCAAACTAAAATGAAAGAAGAACTCCAGGAATTTGTATTATGAACCCTTGTAGTGGGGCTCCCCCGGCACTGCAAGGGTTAAGTGCTCGTTTGTGTCTAGGTGCTAAAATAAAGACATCGCTAGGCTTTAAAGAGGAACTTCACCCAGATCTATAAAATAATAACACGGTCACCTTTAGGCCTCATTCACACTGGAAACGGCCGGCACCTACAGCTGCGTGCAGGGCTGTATCGAGCAGCCCCTGTCCTTCTCTATGGGACTACGCGGCTGTACACCCCCCTACGCTCACCCGCCCTGCACGTCCGTGTGGGTGAGCGTACTCGTACACTGACATGATGGATCCTGTCTGCGTCCGAGCCAGGAAACCCGCACCCCTACGGACCTGCACTTGAGATGAGCGTAGGGTGGCGTACGGCCGCGTAGTCCCATAGAGAAGGACAGGGGCTGCGTACTAATCACACGCAGCACCTGTCCTTCCAGGGAGCTGCCCGATACGACAGCTGTATGTGCGGGCCGATTCCAGTGTGAATGAGGCCTTAGAAATGTGTAGTACACACATGACAATCTGCAAAACATGTACTTTAGATAATTGCCGGCTTTGTATTCTTTGCATACCTCATTTCTCTTTTCATCCCCAGTCTTCTAACAGTGGCCATTTCATTAGGGCGAGATTAATCAATCTCCCTTTACTTCCTGGTACATGTGACTAGGACATGTGACCATACACATCGTCTCAGGGGGGAAAAAAGTGCCTTTCCCTGAGATCTCTGGACATTTTGCAGTCCGCACATGAGATCTCCCAGCAATGCTCCGCTGATGTAACCTTCCCAGGATGCATCTCTTAGGCATGGGCTACATCACGAGTAAAATAAAACATGTTTATTTAGCTAATGCATGTAAGATGATTTCATATCAGCATATAGAGCTGCACACTAATGTGATTTTTAGTGAAAGGGGGGTAAAGCTCCACCATCTAACTTTTGCTATACAAATCATGTCACATTTACCATTTTGAAAATCAAAGCCACTGAGAAGGGAAGGGGCAGCAGGGACACTTTGGTTATTATGTGGTGCCCTCATAAGCATTATATATCACTCAGGTATTCCAGGAATTATTGTAGTTGAACCCAATAAAACCAGGTCAGGATATGTTCCTCCATTTTGTCTTTAAAAGCAGCACTGAGGCTTGCCATCTCCTTAATAGAAAGGACCCTGGTAAACCACTGGGCTAATTGTATAAAAACTGGAACAAAAAGAATCTGGAGCAGTTGCCCATGGCAACCAATCAGCATCTCCCTTTAGTTTCCTCAGGTAAGATTTGAAAATTCGACAGAGAAGCTGATTGGCTGCAGTGCAAATCTGCTCCACGTTTTGTCTGCTCCACTGGTGCTAAAATTCCCCCCACTGTTGTTTCCTTGTAATGTAGCAACCTAGAGGCACTCTGTGAAATGCCATTTGGAAATTTCAATCTAGGAGTTACCATTTAATTTTCAAGCATCCCCTGCCATAGCAGCCTAAGGCACATCCTCACATAACGAGACACAGACACTGCAGCCTTTCTAATTACAACACTAAGAAGCTCATTTTGCAGTGGTTCATACAGCTCCTCTCCGTGTGAACGGGATTCTCAGCGCTTTACAGCCACTAGATGGAGCCAAGGAGCACAGAAATGTTCTATGCCTCTGACCTATAAATCAGTATAAACCTTTGTCTGCTTCAGGTAATTATAATAAAGGCGGACCGACCTAAGAGGAAATTGTTTGTTTTTGTCTAAAACAGCTAGAGGTCCTCTGGAATCTGATTTAAAGGAGGACTATGGGAAAACCTTTTTTGCCCATAGGCAAGTCAGTGATTGGCGGTATGTGTATGTGATCAATAGAGCCGACCTGTGACAGCTTCAGTGCCAGAGGTCGGCTCGAATTATGGGGATCAGTGTCTTTCACTCTCTCCATAATTCTCCTTTAAGCACCGAGTTGGAGAGTGCTTAGCATTCAGCAGACACTGCATAAAAGTGAACTTCATGACCTGCATTAGTCTATTTTCACACAATGACACCTCCTAGCACTTGATGCATAGAACACTTTGCTTTTTTCAAGCTGTGTAAAGAAAACAGCGGTGTACCAGATCATATGTGTAAAGAATGGCACGTTTGCTTTTGCATTCTTGAGCCAGATGAAGAGTCTTGTGTAAAAGTTCTTCTGCTTCATCCATCTCGTCTTTCATAATGCTGAGCTAAATCAAAACACAGCAAAAGTAAAATGATATACTAATAATATTAATAGTTATAATATCTGGTTATGTTGCACATGAAATATCTAAAGTGATCATGTCATTTGCCCATACAAAGCAAAACGTTCACTTTAAAGTAGAACTCCATCTGCTCAGCTGCCAGCTGGAGAGGTCCTCAGCAATGATACTAGTCTGTCAGTCTGCAAGGGTGTGGAATTCCTATCCCAGCCAATCAGCATCGAGCCGGCTTCCTGGCCAATCAGGTCATTACTCGCCGCCCGGTTTTTTGATTGGGCAGGAAGCTGGCTCGATGCTGATTGGCCGGGAAACCAGCTTCCCAGCCATTCACAACCAAGCCAGCCAAACAACATGGAGTCGGCTTCCCTGGCAGTCAGGAAGCTGGGTAGCATCTCATTACCCGCTGCCCGGCTTCCTGATTGCCCGGAAGCCTGCTCCATGCAAAAGGAAGCACCGATACTCGGTGAGTACCGAAAGCAAACTATCGGTACTCTATACCCAAAAACCGGTATTGGTGCATCCCTAGTTTTAATTCAAACTATTTTTTTTTGTATTGGGACAAGTAGATTGCCATGAAGGACAAGTAGATTTGGCCCCCGCTTTAGCCCTTGGACAAGTAGTTTTTTCAAAAATTTCCACACCCCTGGTCTGCCAGGCTGTATGACAAGCATTGCATAACCTAGCCCAGCTGTCATCTCGCTGGCCCTAGACTCAGAATACTACTGCACTGAACAGCATTCACACATCATTATCTGAGCATGGTTCAGTGCAGGACTAAGGACGCCAACAGACTGGCTGACAAAACCTTGGAAAATGTACACGCGCACACACACACACACACACACACACACACACACACACACACACGCAAAAGCTAACTAAACATACATCACAAAATTGGATTCAAAATAAATAAAAGGTTTGCCACACTTAAATTCTATCTCACCTTGGCCTTCTTTAACAGGTAAACTATCTCTTGTTCTGGCTCGGAAAGGTCTTCATCCTCCTCGCGAAGTTTAGAGAAAATGGAAAATGCTGAAAATCAGAAGTACATGGTTAGCATTTTTGAACTGCGTGGTCATTCCTAATCTCCTCCTTGTGTCTGCTTGCTGGACAATGGAGGGGCCCTTCCCCTAGTCCTGCGTAAGCTTCAGTGTGTCCCTTGTCCCGCTGCTTTTTAAAGTATTTGACAAATTGTTCAATCATTCAGTTACTACCATGATCACAAACCTGCACCAACTTATTTCACCAACAAGTAATGCACTAGATAAAATCTGAAGAGGTGGAGACAGAACTCAGAGATTTACATCGCTTTTACTTTCCATAAAGTGTACTCTTGTCACCCAATTCAGCCGAGAGCGGGCTAATGCCCGATATCTGCTAACAACGCAGAGCCACGCCGAAGCTGGGAAGGATCCCTACAATATAGTGGGGATCCACCCTGGTGCCTAACAGCTGACTTTGCCTCTCTAGAGTCAGCTGTGCCGCCCCCTCACCTGTCTGTCCCTACAACGAGCACTGAAGGAAGGGGGGCATCCCTTGGGGGGGATTAGTGACTGAGTCACCACTCACTGCAGGAAGAAGAGAACACAAGCTGAGCGAGCATGTAACGGTTAACAATCAGCTCTTGGTATAGATTGTGCGACAGCTGCTGTGTCCCATACTGGCTGTAAGCGGCAGGGAGAGTATGTTTTAACTCTCCCTGCACTTCTCCTTTAAGAGGCAGAGTAAACTGTTTGCCGATTACACCTATTGGCAATCACCAACAAGTAAATCAGCTCTAGGTGGCCTTGTTCTTTAAGGCTGTTGGAAGCATTTACAATCTTTTTGAGAAGTGCGGGTGACGACTGATTAAACCCACAAGTTCCTTCTAAATTACTGTTGCTACGTGTAATTGAGCTACAGTAGCCTGTATACAATTACTGCTATTACATAAAATGCTGCCAGTACAGCTTAAACATCACAGCACTGAAGCAAGCTGTACACGGCCAGTTTTGGGCCAGGTCCAATATTTAAATGACAATTTTACCTTGCACTGATCAGCCATAACATATTTATGACCACTGAGAGGTGAAGTGAATAACATTGATTATCTCATTACAACGGCACCTGGAAGAGGATGGGATATATTAGGCAGCAAGTGAACATTTTTTCCCTGAAGTTGATATGTTGGAAGCAGAAAAAATGGGCATGTGTAAGGTTTAGAGTGACTGTGACAAGGGCCAAATTGTGATGTCTTGACGACTGGGTCAAAGCAACTTCAAAACTTCAGCTTTTGTGAGATGTTCCAGGTCTGCAGTGGTCAGGATTTACCAAAAGTGGTCCAAGAAAGGAAAACCGGTGAACCAGAGACAGGGTCATGGGTGGCCAAGGCTCCCTGATGTACGCGGGGAGCGAAGGCTGACTCGTGTAGTCAGATCCAATAGAAGAGCTACTGTAGTTCAGATTGCTGAAAAAGTTAATGCTGGTTCTGATAGAAAGATATCTGAACACACAGTACATTGCAGTTTGCTGTGCATGGGCTGTGACCAGACCAGGGCTCCAGACCAGTCAGGGTGCTGACCTATGTCCACCACCAAAAGCATCTACAAAATGCAAAGTGAGTGAACAGAAGGAAAATCTAAAATCAAATCAATATTTGGAGACTACCCTTTGGATTCAAACCAGCACCAATTCTAAAAGGTGCCCATACACCTGCCGATAATCGCGAGAAAATCCCGTGATCGTACGATAATCGGCAGGTGTATGGAAGGCGTGCGACCGTTTCTACTGTATGGTCGCACGTCTTTTGTCTCCCGAGCAGGCTCGAAAATCCGCCGAGAATCGTACGATTGTCGGCGGGTTAGTGACATTCTCGGGAGACAAATGCCGCACGGGCCGGTGTGCACAAGCGCACACTGCCCGTGCGGCATTGGAGAAATCGGAAACCCGCCCCTCAGTGGGGCGGGCTTTCGATGATCACAAGTAGGATCTGCCTGTCCAAGATGGGCAGATCGTACGAGCTTTTAATTACTTCACAACCATTGCACTACTCAAGTCGTGCAATGGTTGTAAGGTGTATGGGCACCTTTACACGTGCAAAGTCAGGGGTTTTGTAGGATTAGAGTCAGGTGTATGATTACCAATTATACAGAGCAGGCGCTAATGATCACAAATTTCATATGTAGGTTTTAAAACACAGTCATTGACTGAAACAGAAACAGCTCTGTAGGAGGCTTAAAACTGGGTGAGGAAAAGCAAAAAACTCTGCTACTAAGGTGAGGTTGTGGAAGACAGTTTCATGTCACAGGTCATACACCATGACAAGACTGAACACAACAAAAAGACACAAGGTAGTTATACTGCATCAGCAAGGTCTCTCCCAGGAAAGGATTTCAAAGCAGACTGGGGTTTCAAGATGTGCTGTTCAAGCTTTTTTGAAGCACAAAGAAACAGGCAACGTTGAGGACCGTAGACACAGTGGTCGGCCAAGGAAACGTAATGCAGCAGATGAAAGACACATCATGTTTACTTCCCTTTGACAACATGGGAAGATGTCCAGCAGTTCCATCAGCACTGAACTGGCAGAAACCAGTGGGACCCAGGTAAACCCATCTACTGTCCAGAGAAGTCTGGCCAGAAGTGGTCTTCATGGAAGAATTGAGATCAAGAAGCCAAACCTCCGACATGGAAACAAGGTTACATAGGAACTGGGGTGCAGAAAAATGGCAGCAGGTGCTCTGGACTGAGGAGTCAAAATTTGAAATATTTGTCTGTAGCAGGAGGCAGTTTGTTGGCCAAAGGGCTGGAGAGCGGTACAGTAATGAGTGTCTGCAGGCAACCGTGAAGCATGGTGGAGGTTCCCTGTAAGTCTGGGGCTGCAATTCTGCCAATGGAGTCGGAGATTGGTCAGGATCAATGGTGTCCTCAATGCTGAGAAATACAAGCAGATATTTATCCATCATGCCATACTATCAGGAAGGGGTCTGATTGGCCACAAATGTATTCTGCAGCAGGACAACGACCCCAAACATACAGCCAATGTTATTAAGAACTATCTCCAGCATAAAGAAGAACAAGGAGTGCTGAAAGTGATGGTTTGGCCCCCACAGAGCCCTGATCTCAACATCATTGAGTCTGTCTGGGATCACAGGAAGAGACAGAAGGATTTGAGACAGCCGACATCCACAGAAGATCTGGGGTTAGTTCTCCAAGATGTTTGGAACAACCTTCCTGCCGAGTTCCTTCAAAAACTATGTGCAGGTGTACCTAGAAGAACTGATGCTGTTTTGTAGGCAAAGGGCGGTCACACCAAATATTGATTTGATTTAGATTTCTCTTCTGTTCATTTACTTTCCATTTTGGTCATTGATAAAAAATGAACTATGAACACTTTTATTTCTGAAAATATTCACCTTTACACCTGCCTAAAACTTTTGCACAGTACTGTTATATATATATATATATATATGATATA